TCCAACACAGGGAAAGCAGGAGTGCTGTGGGCACACCAGCTCCCTGTGGGCACCTTCTGGCCAAAGACAAGGCCCAGTACAAAGTGATGGTGTCGCTCTGCATTGGTCCCAAGGATTGTCCCCTTGAAGTCAGACTGAGCCCAGCCCTCATCCTCACCAGGCTCCGGGAATGGCCTCAGAGAAATGATGGAGAATATAAAACGTTACCATGCTTTCAAGAGTCCAAGCTGGCACCTTTGCCTGCCTAGATGTTCCTAAGTGGAGCTGAAAACCTTGCTCTGAATGTTTTCTCTGGGACTGTTTCGTTAAATGAAAGTGTTCAAAACTGCTTTTATAGAAACTGCTGAGGCTCTGAAAGCAATACCTCAAGCAGACACAAGCAGGGCGACTGGACAGCAAACCACTAAAGGCAACACCAAATGGGACTGACCATGAATGCTAAGCCTTCAGGCAGGCTTAGGGCACCTGGGCTCAGCAGCTCCCATTCCTCTGTATATTTAACCCCAAAACACACCTGAACCCCCTGGCACAGGGAACAAGAGGCCTGGAAGGGCTCCCTGTCCTCGGGGCAGTGCCCTCAGCACGGGGCTATCACATTGCATGTTGTTTACACAATGGCACAATATAAAATCCATTTGGAACCAGGGCTCACTCTCTGCTATTAAAGAATCCATCAGTGAATTTCATTTTTTATTGGTTCACTTACAGAACTCACAGCGGTGTGTTGTGTTTATTTTTCCAGAGCACCAATAAAAACCTTTTTTGATTAAAAAAAATGGAGAGAGGGAAAAGAGAGAAAGAAAGAAAAAGGAAGAAATGAAAAGCTGACCTGGTATAACCCAGGCGAGCGCTGAACCTCAGCAGCGCTGGATGAAATGAGCCAACTGCTGAGCAAATGCTCGGCTGTGGCCGTAACCAGCAACAATCGAAACCTGTTTATGGCAGAACTTTGGCTTTATAAAAACAAGCACAATCGAGCCCTGCTATATTAAACCAGGTTTTGTCACAGACCGACCGCTGAAGATGCAGAGCAGACGCAAAGCCCTAGGAGTCAAGGATATGGGCCCAATCCTCCTGGATGCAGACAGCATGGATGGCTCCAGGTATTTATGGTGCTCCATTCCCATGTTGCCCCAGAAATTTTAAATAATCTATGCTTGGTGTTTCTTTAGACTTTTTTTTTTTCTTTCTTTTCTCATTCAAAGGCATACATAGTCCTCAAAACCAGCTGCCTTTGGCATGTATGACCCACAGGCCTATCTGGCCTTTCTTCAAACTTTCTTCTGAATAAGAAATAAAATTTGCATCTTTAAAGCAAAAATAGATCTGAACCCAATTTCCTGAATATGAATTCTATATTTAACAGAACTAGTAAATTTTATTTTTTTTAAACAGGTTAGTTCCGGCCTTTGCCATCAATTATTTCTCAAAACATAAATTTTGTGTAACTGCACGTTTAAAGAACAAGCAATTAAAAAGGAAACAACTTGCTTTAAACAGACTTGATTTTTCTCAGCTTGGTTAAGAGAATTCATATTCAAAATGTCAGGTAAAATTTACATATAGCTCTTATTTTTTTTTTGTAATCCACATTAGAAAAAGTAAGAAAAAAACCCTAAAAATCCTATTTTATAAGTTTGACAGATATTACACTAGTTTGTGTCTGGGGAAACCACAGGGCCCAGAGCAGGGGAACAGCCGCCATTTTGTGGAATGGGCACCATTTTGTCTCGGGGAAAACCACAGGGCCCAGAGCAGGGGAATGGCCGCCATTTTATGAAAGGGGCGCCATTTTGAGTCTGGGGAAACCACAGGGCCCAGAGCAGGGGAATGGCCGCCATTTTATGAAAGGGGCGCCATTTCTAGTCTGGGGAAACCACAGGGCCCAGAGTAGGGGAATGGCCGCCATTTTGTGGAATGGGTGCCATTTTGTGTCTGGAGAAACCACAGGGCACAGAGCTGGGAACGGCCGCCATTTTGTGAAATGGACACCATTTTGAGCCTGGGGAAACCACAGGGCCCAGAGCAGGGGAATGGTCACCATTTTGTGAAATGGACACCATTTTGAGCCTGGGGGAACCACAGGGCCCAGAGCAGGGGAATGGCCGCCATTTTGTGGAATGGGCGCCATTTTGAGGAACAGCCACCATTGTTACCTATTACACCTTGTAGAACGTTAGTGAACTGCTCACTTTGGTTATTCTTTATTAGTTACCGATTCTAGGCTGGCCACCACAGGACTAGGAAGCAGCTTCACAGTACCATGCGCATGGGGTTTTGGTATGAATTCTATAGACATTAATAAACCAGAAACATCTCTCTGGGCAAGAACCAAGGCAGAGAGTGCCCGACTGGAACAGCTGTCCAGAACTGTAAAGAATATTTGCACTCACTCAATTTGTCATCTTCGCTTATCTTTAGAGGACGACAAATCTTGCTAAAAACCAGCTTACATGTTGCTAAACCTCTTGGAGGCTTTTAAGAATCTTCACTCTGAGGCTTGTCTAACTTGGAAAACAAATCTTCCAGTTATCACGGGACAGGTACTTATCGATACCTGCATGGGTGGATACTGATAGTGCCTTTATCGCATTCAGCTTAAATCCACTTGGGAAACAAGCCATTAAACGATCCACAGAAGGCAGCTCAGCAGAAGCATCCACTCTGGGCAGTACCAGGCTTTGCATTCATATCCCAGCTCCCTCTCCCACCACTCAAGTCCTTGGCCTTCAGATAAGGGGGTGTCAACCAAGTGGGAAGTTTATCCTATCAAAACCTCCAAACTCTTGGGACAAAAAAAGTAAAAATCAAACTGTGTAAGAGCTGGAGCCTGTGTTTTCTTTCCCCCTTCTTGTGGGTGGGGAAAAAAAAACAGCCTACAGATATAACACGGTGCTGGAAACCTTTGGGTATTAAAACATGATAGGCTGTATTTCAGCAGGGATTTGGACAGGCCTCACAGGGGGAGTAATCCCCTCATGGAAGGAGGAATGCCTCATGGAAGGAGGAATGCCTCATGGAAGGAGGAATGCCTCCCTCGCCATCACTAAATTACCTTGGCACTTCTCTTGCTTTCTTCTATCACTGTGAGCTTTCACTTGAATGTGTGCAGAGAAAGCAGCAAAATCAAATTACTACTTTTGCAGAGGCCTTTTTCTTTCCGCCCTGTCGGCAGAACAAATCTTACACAGACACAGGAAAACTGTTATGGTAAGCTTGTTCCCAGGACAGGAATAAGTCCTCTCCCATCCTCATTAACATTGTACAAAGTATTTCAGGCTTGCAAGTGCTACAGGATAGGCTTGACAGACATGACTGTTGACCCGAAATATCAGCGAGGACTGGAAAACAACCGGCTGAAGCTTTCTGAACACGACCATCAGCGTGACTGCCAAGGAAAGCACCAGCACCCGTTACTTCATGAACCAACATGTGATTTGCAGAAACACTTACACAGCTTAAAAAGTCTAAATCCTGTTTTCAAAGGAGCTTAGTCACCGCAAAGTGATTTCGGTATCTCAGTACATCCAGGGGCTGGCCCTTGGAAGTGCAACTTTCCGTGGCAATGAGTCGTTGATTATGAATTTCACAGAGGGAAATTCCTGCTACACAGCTATTGCAGGAGAACTAAAGCTCCTCTAAAATACATGTCCTCCAGCACAAGTCCTACACCTCCACTCTGGCACCTGGGCAGAGCGAGCTGAAATAGCAGCAACACGAACCTGATAGGAACTGTGAAGGTGGGAAATGTGGAGATCCCAAACAGAGACCAGGTAGAACGATCACCTCAGGATGTGGGCAACTTATTGCACATGCACAAAACAATTAACATACAAATTCTTTGCCCATGAAGAAACCACAAGTCACCACCCCCCAGACTGAGCTTGCATACAAAACTGTATAAAGAAATCGGGCATTCACGTAACACAGGAAAATTATCGATTCAATTCAACAAACAGTCCCAGAGAGAATGAGATGCTCCAGAGTCCACATTGGTTAAATAAAATCAGTTTCCTTGCATTTTGTTCAAGTCATTCAAAACGGATGCACTGTGTTAGACCTGCCCTGGGAGACTTGCTCTAATATGGAATCCACATGTTGTTTTAAGGCAACTATTTTCAGAAAGGCTGTTGCCACAGTTAAAAAACTAGCTTTGTGCAAGAGACCCATTCCTGAGCCCCTACCATTTTCCAGTTCCTTGCCATTATAATTCAGAGAAATTAACTGCTGAAATCCTTTGCTGGGAATGGGAAGAGCTCCTGTGCCAACATCCTAGCAAAGATCAACATAGCTTACTTACACCCTGGAAGAAAGGATAATGAATTCCAATCAGTGCTGTAAGTAACAGAAATGCAGGAGAAATTCGTGTCCTTTTCAGTAAAGGACTTAACATATTAGTGCAGAGCACGGGCAAGTAGAAAAATGGAATTGAAAAGGCAAACCCAAAACGCTTGGATTCTAAAGTCTAAACCAGCTCTGAAAGGGAAAATGGTAAGGAAAATTGCTAATAACCACAAATCAAGCTGCAAGCCAAGTCCTTTGTCATTTAAAAGCCTTAGATCGGTGGTTGGAGTGGTATTATTTGAATTTAATGGGCACACAGTAAAGGGCTGTTTAATTAAGCATTGAAAAACTTGATGTGACCGTTTAAAATACCCTTCAATCTACCATTTGCTATAATCTACATTAATAGCTAGAGCTTGCTGGAAATGCTCCACTGGGAGAAATTTTGGAGTGAGGAAAGCTCAAAAACTTTCTCCATGAAAATTTCCGTTTTGTTAACTCTAAAAACCATGGAAAAACACCTTAAAGCAAAATATTTCATTTAAATCAGTTCAGTAGTAATGAAAAAACCCCACACAGGTATGTTCACGTATGATGATGTATAGCCTGATGCAAATCTAAGTTCTGATCACTAAAACCTTGAATTTATTTTATTTTTTCTATGAGCTGGCCTCTTTGCTTGGACTACCCAGAAAGCAGCACTGAAATCCTCCTACCTTGTGCCATTTGGAAGATGTCTGGAGGAATGTGCCTCTTGTTCAATGGTTGCTTCTCATTCTCACTCATACTTGAACAAGCAGCTGCCAAAACAAGCAGAAAAAACCCAAACAACACTAAGAGATGGCAATGGACAACTTTAAACATTAATGGAACGATAATGTGAGACAACCAGATTAGTTCAAGGCTTCTTTTATCCACTCTCAATAGAAACAGCAGGTCAGAAAGTCAGCTAAGATCATACTGATGGTCTACTCAGCTATGGCACAGATTTGTTCAATATGAGCATTGTGGCTTTCTAATCCAAGGAAGAGTATTATTTCCAAAATGTGAAAGCATTGTCTTCATATATAACACCAGCTGAGCAGACTAGTGAACTCATTCCTGCTTACCAATTCATCTTTATTTGGTTTTCCACTGTGACATTAGATCATGCAGGAAAGTCCACCAAATAATACTGTAAAAAGAGATGAACTCACACAAGATTTTTGTCGGTTATTAAAAAAGCGCCTTCTGTCAAACTACTGGAAATTAATTAACTTTGAATACTCAAATACATAAACATTTCTGCAAAAACAGTTCAGAATGAAAAAATTATTTATTGTGCCCTCCAGGGAAATGTACCTTGTCAATCCCTTGTCACTAAATCACTTGCTAACAGCTATGGCGTGAGGTAAATCAGCGTTTCAGCCTGATGAGTTTAAAGACCCTGGTGCCTAATGAATTCTCCTATTCATTCTGGAGGTTACATCTGTGCCCAAGCTCTCTTTTAACAACCCGGTGCTGAAAAGATCTGATGTAATTTTACTATTTACTAAACAGGTGTCTGCAATCGTATCCAGTGATGTCAGGCTGCTTGCTTGGAACTCACTTTCGGACAGCTATCCAAGCTGGTGCTCTGGGATCATAAAAGGGCTGTTCCCTGGGCAGCTACAGCCTCCAGTGCACCCCGCTCAGTGATAGTGAGGGCTAATTAATGCCACTTGGACAGGAGGAAGGACCAGGGATAATTCATAACCTGATGGGGTTAGTTCTGTAAACCCCACTAATCAGGGCATCTGCTGAGCTCCCCAGGAAAGCTCTTTGCTCACACGACTGAGCAGCCCAGCAAGTGCTTTGCCCTGGGTGTTCCCTCCCCACTGGAACATCTGGGGATAGACCAAGGGACATGGTGCTTAGTGGAGCTGCACCACTGGAAGAGCAAATTGGCACCATGTCTTCCTCATCCTACTGGGTGATCCATCTTCCTCACTGAGGGTGAGAAGCCCAAGCGATATTTTCCTTTAAGAGACAACATAATAGCTCCCAGTGTGGCAGTGCTTCGCTGGCATCAACTAACCCAAGGTTCCCTGGATGATTTCCCAGTCACCTCTTGAGTCATCCAGAGGCTGAGGGTGGCCCTGTGACCCCCCTCCCAGGCAGGCTGATGCAGAGCACTGGGCTGGGCTGCTGATCCTCTCCCTTAAGAGCTCCAAGAGCCTCTCTGGGAAGCACCTGCTGCGGGTATGTTCAATATGGAGCCTTCGGAACGTCACTGTCTCCAGCCCAGGGAATGGGTGGGCACAGCACTAACGGTCTCTGTGTCACAACCCTTATAATACCCACACAAACCCACTCTGGACCTCAGCTCCAGCTGCTGGCAGGGCACTGAGCACAGCCCAGGCAACACCCAGCTCGGCAGGAAAGAAATAATATATTGGGCAGTCAGGATTTCATTTCAGGAATGTCTTAATTTCATTGAGAAATGGTATTTGGTGTTAACAACATGGTATTTTAATTGTTTAATGCTCAGTTACTCATGCAGCATTGAGCTGTTGGGGGTTTCCAAAGGTTTTGTAATACTGCTCCCTTGGCATGAGGGAAATTTGAGGCAAAAACAAAAAAAAGAGGCAGGAATGCCAGATCTGGGTGAACAGTGATGCTTGGCCCCCACACAACATGAGGGTCCTCAGCCCATCTAGCTAATTACCTCCATAAACTAAATTATCCTAATTAGGTTATAGAATATTCCTGATTTTAGACAGAAAATATATTGCTTAACTAAATGAAATCTTTCACAGAAAAAGTATTTAAAAATTCTATAACACAAAGAAGATTTTAGCTGAAAACTTTCCCATTTCAGCTCCACACTGAAAAAATTCCAGGGTAGACTAAAAATGTTTAGTGTTTAATTAAATTTTCCATGGAAAAAAAAGAGAAAATTTTCCCAGATATGTTAATAAGCAACAAGCTGAATTTCTCACTGCTGGAGACATGTTCATTTGACTATATAATTCTGGGCACTAATTTAGCATTCATACACCTGGAGTTTTAATGGGAAATTGCTTATTTTCATCAGACCAGTAAAACAGCATCAAAACCCTGCATGGGCATTTCTGCAGATATAAAATCATCCTAATTCGTTCAGTTGAACTCGTAAATTAAAAGCAACATGACACAACATTTGAACTCAAACCCAACCAAACTTGCTACTAGTTATGAGACCTCCATGTGGACGGTCTTTCTTGGCCCTAGGAAATGCTGAGGTGGGTTTAACACATTTTCCAAAACTCAAAATATTAAATCGCCCATTTCAGACTCAAGGAGCTCCTAAGCCTGGAAGTTTGTGTCTCTTTTTTCCAGCTCTGTTGGTTACATTTAAGAAAACACGTTACCAAGGTTCATATCTTGCTGCAGAAAGGGAGCATTGAATCAGTAGATTTGATTTTGCTTTGCAGAACCTGGTTCCTGACAATTTTTGAAGCTGTGGATGTAAAACAGTAAATTTCAGTGTTTTGTTTGCTTCAACAGAACATTTTCTGCTCTGCAAAAACTAATTTTCCAGGTCTGAGCCTACGTGTTTTTCAGATTTTTTCCCCCTGCTCAGTTTTTTTACTGGGTATTTAGCTCTTCCTTCCTTAATGGGAATTTAACAAGACCCAGCTGACAAGTGCTCAGTGAAGTGACCAAGCAGCACCTGAAGGAGATGGGATGTAACATCCACAAAAAATGCCTGAGCACAATCATTGTTATTAAAAGGATAACCAAATGAATTCATAATGATGGGACACTCATTTCAAAGTGTTTCCATAGCTGTTACACATCAGGAAAAATAGGGAAGTTACCTCATTTTCTCCTATCCTAAATAACCTCATAAACTCACCAAAGAAATTAATTAGCCAATATTTCTTGAAAATTCATAACAAAGTTTCCATTTTTCCGTCAGATAATTCCTTAGTGCATTCTGGTTTTTAACTTCCTTCGAGTCTGGATCATTTTGATGTGTGAACAGACATTTTGTGTTTCCATGGGTTATTTCCACAGGTTCAAATATCTTCTGTAATCGACATTTTCCTGCTTACAAAGGCTGTCAAACTTGAAAGTAGCAGTTGATTGATAAAACATGGATTTTGCCTGTAACTTAACTTCATTGTTAGGGCTTATTGCTCAAGCTCTGAATAACTTCTCTTCAAAGTGACTTGCATTCAGGGGTTTTGGGATTTTTGGTTTGGTTTTTGGTTTTTAACCATCTACGCTTTAAGCTACTTTAATAAATATAAAGCAGCAACTGCTTTTCCATTTTCCTACAGGTAGATCTCTTCAACAACTCACTTCCACTTTAGAATTACTACTCTCTAAATAAAGGAGTGTAAATTGACTTTTAAAGCAAAGTCTTCCAAAGTCAACTTCATAATTGTTCAGCAACATTTATTCTTTCCAATCCTGGCTATAAAAGAAAAAAACAGAAGAAAGCACTGAGGAGAGCACTGACACTTGAAGCATCAGAGAGGACAAAAGGAAGCTACACGGGCCACAGGCAGCAGTGTAGGTGTTATTTAACATTAAAAACCCCCTCAATAGTTAAAAAAGGACCATTTCTTCCAGTGATGAGAAATGTACAAAAATATAAACCAGAGCTGAGTAGGGTCTTTTTGTTGGCTTTAGTGGATTCTGGGTGTTGTTTGTAATAAAGACACAAGCAAGTCGGTATGATGCTGAAGTGAGCAGTCTGGGCACAGACAGGGATGCCTTTGCCTCTGAGCAAGTCATCACCAGTATAGTGCTTCAATGGTGGGCAACTATCTACAATTTCCACCTGAACGTCACCAGTTTATAACACAGACACTCAGCAGTGCCATCAGGGCACCTCACCACTCTCCTCTGGGCAGGGGTCATCTCCCCCTTCTGCTGGCCCCAAGTTCTTCCTGCATTTCATAGAATCACAGAACAGTTTGGACCTTAGAGATCATCCAGTTCCAAACCTCCTGCCATGGGGCAGGGACACCTTCCACTATCCCAGGTTGCTCAGAGCTCCATCCAGCCCAGCCTTGGACACTTCCAGGGATGGGGCAGCCACAGCTTCTCTGGGTAACCTGTGCCAGGGCCTCACCACCCTCACAGGGAAGAGTTTCTTCCTAATATCCAATCTAAACATGCTCTCTTTCAGTTTGAATCCGTTCCTCCCTGTTCAGTTACCCCAGGCCCTTGTAAATAAACCCAGTAGTGCAGGATCCTGGTTTGATTCCCATGGGGCAGAACCCTGGATGCAGGAGGTGAGCAACACAGGATTGACAAAACCAGACTGCGAGGGAGTTACAGAGGCTGAGCTCTGCCCAGAGATCACCTCCAACATCCTTCTCCCTCACCCAATCCCCTCTGCTCAGAGATGGCTCCTGGCCACTCTGCCATGGTCAGTCTGCGCTTTCATTTAACCCCACTGCAACCAGCACAGTCTCAGAATTAAGCTCAATTGTCCTGGAGAGGGATGGATTAAAGCAAGAGCAAATTCTGGTTTTTTTGAGTACAGCAGTTTCACATGCCTTTGGCAAAAAAACTGTTATTGCTTTCTGAAGCAGTTGTTCCAGTGGCATGACTTCTGCAGGGGTGTTTTAATTATTGTTGGTGTATCACCTGACTTAGTTATGTACTGCTTTGAAGTTGTTCTTTGTATCTGACAGCAAGAGGATGGAAAACAAACATGACTGTTTATTCCCTTCCCCTTGCCCTGCGTTGGCTTGGTGCAGCCCTTGCTTTGGATTACACAAACATGGGGCAGATGGAAAAGGAGATCCAAAAGAAGTGTCCAGACGCAGTGTGTGGACCC